GAAATTCTGTCTGTGTGTATCTGAACTTTTCCTTTTTTTTTTGTCTTTCTGTCTATGGTATCAATTTTAACATTATAGAAAACAACTGTCTGAAGAGAAAAAAAAAGTCTGAGGTCAGAACTGCCACAAAAACTCGACACACAAAACCCCAAATCTCACGTATGCGTGCGTGTGTGTGTGTGTGTGTGTGTGTGTGTGTGTGTGTGTGGAAGGTCTCAGTGCCTGAGGGGCACAACTAATATTTCACTTTCCTAAAAAACTGCTCTGGAAAATGTCAGAAGGTTCCCGCTCATCGCAGCCAGTGAAATGAAATCTCTCAGCCGCTTCCAGCACAGTGAACTGATGTTGAACAGAAAGAGTGTGTTTGACCGGATGACACTGAACACACTCATGTGTGTGAAGATATACGATGGTCTGATGGCTTCATTAACTCATTAACACTGGACAGACGCGCTGCTGTCGTCAGTTAGCAGTGATTGCACACAGACAGAGACGGATGGATCCTTCTGTAATGACTGATATTAAGTCAAGTCAAATGTATTTGTATAGCGCTTTTCACAATACACATGGCTTAAAAGCAGCTTTACAGAAACTCATGATGTTGTGTGTATAATGTCTGAGTGCATAGAGCCAGTTTTAGGGCTGGGCAATATGACCACATTTAACGATTTTTATTAGTTTTTGCTTTTTAAAAATTTTATTAAGTTTTAGTTTTTATTTTAATCATTTTAGTACTTCCACTTAAACCAAAAAAAAAAAAACTGAGAAATGTTGTCTCGGGAATTAGCTGAAATAAAAATATTTTTAATGTAAATATAAATGTTATTTTATTCGAGTTAATGTTTATTACAATTTCTGTTATTATGAACAGACTAATACACTTATCAGACTGATGAATCACAATAAAATATTTCACACTTAAAAAGTCTTAAAGGGGTCATATGATGCGATTTCAAGTTTTCCTTTCTCTTTGGAGTGTTACAAGCTGATTGTGCATAGATAAGATCCCTGAAGTTGCAAAGACTAAAGTCTCAAAACCAAAGAGATATTCTTTATCAGAGTTAAGACTCTGCCACACCCCCTAAAACGGCTCGTTCTAACACGCCCCCACATATCTACCTCACTATGTGGGAATATTAGCATAATGCGCCCAAATGTTCACGCAAAGAACGAAGGCGTGGTTTCAGTAACCGCAGTTAGTGTTGAAGCAGCATGTCAGGGAGACGCTGTGTGTGTCTAGGCAAAAGCAAAAGCACTTTATTTGGCCTTCCGAAAGTAGATGCATTTAGGAATCTTTAAGATTACTTACAACAGAACAGCAACGCATTTTATGGACGACCGTTTC